AACTGACTGCACCACCCCAGGTGCCCTCTTAGCTTTTCATTTTTTTCAAGTATTTTATGCATTCTCTCCTTAACTCCTAGAACTTGTATTAAATCTTCATTAGACTCTCTTGTATCCTGAAATATCTTTTAACATCAGTTAAAACCGATAAAACATCCCATTTTCTAGCCTTTAGTCTCTGCCATATTTTGGAAGATTTCTTCTAAGCTTGCATCCCTCAATTATCTTTCCATCTGTGTTTAGTCTACTGATAAACCTGCCCATTTGGCCTGATTTCCATTATTTTATTTCTCAAAGTTCTCTCATTCTTTGCTGGATTTGCTTTATCACCTTTAATAGATGGCTGTTCTTTGCAGACACTGCATTTTCAAACTCAATAAGCATGGTTGTCATTTGTCTATGTTTATAAGTTTATTTATAGTCCTTTTGACAATATTTAAATCTTTGGGGCAGGTTTCTATTGTATTCTTTCTGTTGTCCTTACTGCTCTTGAAAACTACTTGTATAAATTATTTGAGGTCTAGAATGAAGGTGCCTTTCTCATTTGGTTGTATAGATACTTAGGAACATGATCAGGCTGACCATTTAAAGCTCATGGCTTGAGGTTTTGGGACAACACTAGTAAGTGATTCTAGTTTATTTGTCCAAGAGAACTGGTTTATCATCCTTGATAATATAGCACTTTGCTTAATGTGGAGGGTTGCTATAAAGATTTCCCACCTTGGATAGGTCTGGGGCTTTTGATTTTACCTCTCAGTAGTTAAAACGTTGCTTTTAAGATTTCAGCAAATGTTTATTCTGGACTTGGAATTATTTTATGCAGAGTTGGTCTGCATAATTTAGCTTGTCACTACCAGAAATGGAAATTCTTCTGAACTCTTAGAAAGTAATTTCATGTCTGATAAATAAAATTTTCATTGATTTAATTTAATGTTGAGTGCAGTAAAAAAACAAAAACAAAAACAAAAAAACCAACAAAACTAATGGAGGTATTAATGGAAACTTGTGTTTTTTTTTTAATGTGATCTGATTGTCTGAGAATCACCTACATCAGGGGCTGGGGTTTCTTGTTTAGAATGGAGATTTTTGGGTCTACTCTCTCAGACCTCTTCGTTCAGAATCTGGGCATGGGGATTAATCTCTTTCTCTTTTAAAGAACTTAGTTGTAGTTTTAGATTTACAGAAAAGTTGTAGAGCTACTCTCTAGAGAGTTCCCACATGCCCCTTACCCAGTTTTCCTCCTTAATGTTAACATCTTAATGTTACCGTGGCACATTTATTGGTTAGTCTGTACATTTTAAGGATCATCTCAGCTAATTATTTTGCAGAAATATTGACCCTGTGCTGAGATAATTAAAAATGGACAGAACTGAAAAGCTTATATTTATTGAATGTTCAGTAGTTATCAAACGCAGGTTAAGTCTTTTATAAATTTGTGTCTTTTTTAAAAAAAATATTTTATTTATTTGACAGAGATCACAAGTAGACAGAGGCAGGCAGAGAGAGAGAGAGAGGGAAGCAGGCTTCCTGCTGAGCAGAGAGCCTGATGTGGGGCTCGATCCCAGGACCCTGAGATCATGACCTGAGCTGCAGGCAGCGGCTTAACCCACTGAGCTACCCAGGCGCCCCATAAATTTGGGTCTTAATAAGAGTAGTCCAATAAAGGAATAGATTTTTTCATATTTTTGTAGGTGGTGAATAAGACCAGAAGTCATTTGCCTGAGCTAGATCTTTACAAAGCTGGTGTCAACCCAAATGATTTGACTACAAAATTAGGTCTGCTTTAGAAAACAGAAGTGTGTATAACCAAGAAATCTAACTCAGCTAGAGTGGGCAGGGCATAGTGGAGAAAGTATCTCTGAAGAAGTAAATACCATCCTGTTCTGTCTTGAATCATCTTTAATAAAGAATCAAAGAATTTCATTTAAAGCATTTGAATTCTAAATGTGACCCCATGAAATGGACAGGGAAGGTAGCAGTGTAGCCATTCTTCTGAGTACATTTTAAAATGTTACAAAAATCTGAATTTACAAGTTTGGGGGGTTGTTTTATATTTTTGATAATTGCTGGACTTGACTTCAACCCAGCAAATTCCAAAATATTAGCAAAATGTATTTAAAATATATTTTTTTTAATTTTATTTATTTATTTGACAGACAGAGATCACAAGTAGGCAGAGAGGCAGGCAGAGAGAGAGGAAGGGAAGCAGGCTCCCTGCAGAGCAGAGAGCCCGACACGGGACCCGATCCCAGGACCCTGGGATCATGACCCGAGCCGAAGGCAGCGGCCCAACCCACCGAGCCACCCAGGCGCCCCAGCAAAATGTATTTAAATATGGAAAAACCAAATATAAGTTCTCATTTTCTCCCAGCCTTTAATATGGAAAAACCAAATATAAGTTCTCATTTTCTCCCAGCCTTTTCTTAAAGGCGACTATTACTAGGTTTCTGGTATATCTGTTCAGAAATGTTTTATTCATAAAGTATGTGCATGAGTATGCATGTTCATGTGTGTGTATACACACACACATACATACGTATGTATACACACACACACACACACACATGCATATATATATATTCCTGTCCAGATTGAATTCTGCCATAAGCCCTGTGCTCTTTCTGTATCTGCTTCATCGACTGCAAAGCATTTCATTTTATGCACATTCCATGCTAATACTAAGTTTATTTTTGATGAGATAAGTAATTGTACCTGCTCTGTACATAAGCTTTATATATTATTATTCTGAAGGATGCAGTGCAGCGACTGGCAAAAGCACATATAATCCCTGTAATATGAGTCTTGTGCTCTGGTTAGTTGGGAAAGATAGATCTTAGTCAAATAATCACACTAATTTGTAATTACAAACTTGAGACATCTTATGATGGAAAGAAGTGGGGCTTTCTAGGAGTGTGTACAACCAAGAAGTCTTATTTAGCCAGAATATACAGGTTGGAGAAGCCTCTCTGAAAAAGTAAAACTGAGCCAAGAGCCAAAGGTTATGTTAACTGAATTTTGGAAGAACCTAGGCAAACATGATAAAGCATAGAGCTTGAGATTCATATTATTTTTTTTATATATTAGAGTCTCACAAATGAATAACTAAAGCTGGGGACAGACATTTTTAAGGTTTCTTGTATTACTATTCCAAAATTACTCTCCAGAAAGAACATAAGCCATATTTAAGACTGCATGTTCACCACCATTTTCCCTGCATTAAAAGAGGAGTCTTGCTGATTTGATAGACAAACTGGAATCCTACTTGTATTTCTTTGATGATTAAGATTCAATATTTTTCTTATTTTTGAATTAATATTTCTTCATAATTATTTGCTAAATATTTTGTTAATGTTGGCTAATTACCCAGCATCACTAGAGAAATTTATCAGTGCTATTAGAAATTATTTAAAGCAAAAATATTTAAAGTAGAATAGGATACATTATTAGGAAGAAATATTTTCTTCAGTTTGTTCAAAGGATGGATGTTGGCTCACTAATAATACTCCACATATTAGCTCTTGACTGCTGAAATCAGTAACTCTTCTTAACTCATAGAAAACATGTTGATAAGAGGAATCACACCTTGTAGCTTTCTGAGAGTTAAAAGTCTATGGTTTTAAATTACTAAAAGATAAAAACTTGATTTTAATGTGGGATCCTAAGCTTGATTTAGATAATTTTTTTTGGTAGTCTGTGCATTCATTATGTGTGGCATTAGCCATTTTCCTGCTTGAATATAACATGTTTTACCTTCAGTTTTCTTCTTCTAAAAGAAGTATTCTTTAAGTTAATACTAATCTGTAGCGGGGAAAAAATTTAGGATATTTGCTGGATGGGTTCTAACAGTATTTTGATGTAAGGTAACCAAGAATTTGTTGACAGTGTGCCAGCATATCCAGGGTAGCAGGGTGGGGGGTGTGGTCCTTATCAGTGATAAGACAGGAGGTACTGAAAAGATGGGGAAGGTTTACTTGAAAAAGATTGGGACCCAGAGCTTTAAAACTGTTATTAAGTTGTTTAAAGGACTAACTTTTTTTTTTTTTTTTTTTTTTTTTTTTTTAAGATTTAATTTATTTGACAGAGACGAGAGGGAATGCAGGCAGGGGAGTGGGAGAGGGATAAGCAAGCTTCCCGCTGAGCAGGGAGCCCCCATGCAGGGACTCCATCCTAGGACCCAGGGATCTTGACCTGAGTGGAGGGCAGCTGCTTAATGACTAAGCCACCCAGGTGCCCCAGGACTAACTTGATGCAAAGATTATTAAACTTTTTAGGAAGATCTTTGGGGGCATAATGGTGGCAGATTTCGGCTTTTTAACATGAATTTGATAAGAATTAATACCGTTAAAAATGAAGTGGGTTCTGTGAGGTACTAAGTCTAAGCAAAAATTGATCATTTGTATGTTAAAAGAGTTTGAATAAAGACCTCTTGTATTCTTTTCTGTGATACTAGCATACATCAGATTCTTTACCAGCAGTCCTATTATGAAATGTTCTTACATAGTAGTCTAAAAGCCTAGTAATAACTTCATTATTTTTAGCAGTATCCTCTGAAAAATTACTTTGGGGGCTAGTATGAAAGTCCATGTATATGTGCCATGATTTTTCTTCTTAACACTGATTTTTTTTTTTTTTTTAAGATTTTATTTATTTGAAAGAGAATGAGAGAGCAAGTGTTAGAGCATGAGGGGGAGGGGCAGAGGGAGAAGCAGACTCCCCGCTGAGCAGGGAGGCCCAGGCCTTGCAGGAATCATCCTACAGGACTCCAGGATCATGACCTGAGCCAAAGGCAGTTGCTCAACCAACTGAGCCACCCAGGCACCCAACAGTGATGTGTTTTTAATGGGAGTATACGTTCCTTCTTGGGTTGGTTCTCAGTGTGGTGCTGATTTAAAGGGTTTGGGCATCAAATGTTTTTAATGGTTTTAAATACATTTTATATATATATATATATATATATATATATATGTATATTTTGTTAACATTGGCATTTCTCTCCATAGATATTTGGAGTTCTTAACAACATGGCAGACATTGACAAGTAAGTGCCAGATAGTTGTTTTTTTGTTTGTTTTTTGCTTTTCCCAGAGATTGGGCTTCACTTTGTACTCTGATGTAATTAATAGTAGTAATAATAACATTATAAAAATGTATGGTAAAGACTGATACTTAATACCTGCCGATATAATAGATGGGTACAGTGTATCCAAAACAAAATGTAGTATATATAATCATTGTCTTTAATAAACCATTTGCCAGTGATTATTCTTAGGAATGTGCTGAGCACAGAAATGAGTAAGAAATACTTGCAAAATCCATTTTTACCATATGTGTATTACCCAAAGACTTTACTACTTCCATATTAGTGTATCCTACAAACAAGATAAAGAGTGTATGAAATGTATATGTAGAGTTTAGGATACTTATATTTGAGTTTTTAAAAGTAAAACATTAGTATTAGAAGCCCAGTGTCCCTCTTCTCAGTTGCATCCTCCACCTTCTCCAGACGTGTAAGCACTGTCTTGGCATTTGTCTAAATCATTTGTTTTGCTTTGTTTTGTTTTGTTTTTTAGAGTTTTAACACCTATACATGGTTAATCAGTGTTTAATTTTGAAAATCTGAATAGCAGTCACAAACTTATCTGTGTTTAAAAAGAAAAGCAATATTACCACTATCAGTTGAAGTCTCCAAGGTAGGAAAATAAAAAAAAGATTATCTGGGTCATAGTCTAGCATCAGCTATCCTGAAGAATTTATTGGGCAAGGTCATGTACTCTAGAAACAACAGTTTTATGAAGTTGGCTTCTGTCAGGGTTCTAGTGTAGATGGATGTCTTGCAGAAATACGGTAAGGGAGAATAAGTGAGCTGCATTATTTGTTGCTTACGATTTCACATAGCTTGGGAGTAGGTTAAACAACACTTGGACTTGGATGGGGGTATGATACACACAAGTTGTAGGCAGCAGAGCATGGAGGTGGGAAGGCAGGAAAATTTACACAAGGGCATCACATTGAAGTACATATAAGAATCTGGCCAATCCTTCCATGGTTAAAAAAGAATGGCAGCAGGTATTTTAGTGATAACGGCTTTCAAAGTGATTGCCTTCTGTATTCTACTGCTCCAATCTGGGTTGCTTAACCTTGGTTATATAGCCATCATTGTGGATCTATTTTATTATCTTCCTGGGGTTTCATTTTGTTTTTTTCTCTTGGGTTTGCTATTTGCAAATTTGTATCCCATGTTATTTTCATTTTTGGTTCTTTAATACTTTCTTGGAAGAGTATGAGGGAAATAAATTATTTTGAGATAAATGACTGAAAAGGACAGTTCTATCCTTATGTTGGATAGTTTGAGTGTAGAATTCTCATTTGGGAATCCTCTTTCTTCAGAATTTTGAAGGCATTGCTCCATTATCAGTTGGCTTCCAGTATTGCTGTGTTGAAGTTCAAAGTCATTATAATTCTTGATCATTGTATGTGACACTTTTTGTTTTAAACATACATATTTCTGGAAGCACTCTGGCTTCAGAGTTCTGAATTTTTCACATTGTTACATGTATTTTTTAAAATTTGTTGTAGTAGGCATTCAGTGGTGGGCCCTTTCAGTCTGGCAACCTGATGGCTTTCAGTTCTGGGGAATATTCTTGACTTATTTTGTTGATTGTCTTATTTCCGTTTTCTCTTTCTGGACCTCCTATTATGTTAAATGTTGAACTTGTTCTAATTATCTTTTGTCTTGTTTTCCCATCTTTATCTCTGCTCTTCTTTCTAGGGAAAGCTGAAGAAATTTTACTTTTCAGCATGGAAAGTGTCTAAATTTCTGTTGTGTAGTTTTCAGGAGTATCTTTATTCTCTGTTCCTGTTTTTTATAGCATCTTGTTCCTACTTCATTGACTGTAATATCTTTTTACTGGATTGTGGTATCTTTTCTGTGGATGTTTTTTCCCTGTGTAGTTTGTTTGCTCTTAAATTTTTTCTTTCCTGTATTTGTTTTTGTCTCCATATAAAAGCATTTCTCAAATAGGACGTAAAACTTGGTTGTCTACTCACTAAGATCTGGGTGGGGGAGAATATGCAGTTGAGAGATGTTTAAAAAAAAGTTGATGAGAAAATTTGTTCTGGGGTGGAGGGAGGCTTTTAATTTAGATTGTAATATAAGGTCATCAGGGTGGTTGTTTATTGTGAGAATCCCCATTGTCAGAATGATGTGTGGTTTCTTTTTTTTTTTTTTTTTTTGTGGGCTCTATGTCAGATACCTTAAGGAAGAATATCTGGGTGAGGATCTGGCTTTCAGTTATAGAATCCAAATTGGGAAAAGGTGGCTAGGGTAGGGTCTCTACATCCAACATTCTAGCGGGATACAGTCCTATATCTGAGAGACTCTTAGCTGTATCTGTGGTCTTATAGTCTGAGCTCTTAGTTTAACCCTTTCCAAAGAAGAAGCTGCTGTGCTTCTGCTAGATTGAGGGAGAGAATCTGGAGATTAAACTGCTTTATCAGTTTTTGTTTAGTCCTCCCTGTTTTCTCCAATTTCATCCCTCCAGCCCTAGTTCCAAAAGTGTCCTTTTTGATTTTGTGTTAGGTCTAGTTTTCAGATTTTCCCACTGTTAAGTTAGATTTTCACTTCTCCGTGAACTTGCTGCTGCTGCTGCTCTTTCTTCTCTTCCTGTCCTTCAGTGTTCGTCTTCTGTTTAAAAAACCCTTTTATCCTTATTTTAGTAGAGATTTTGGAAGAACTCAGAGGAGTATGTGCAATCTGCCATCTTAACCTTGCAACCTCATTTTGTTTTGAACTTAAGGAAAAAAAAAAGAATAAATTGGTTTTGACAGCTCAATTCCCCACCATCACCTTATTTAATTTTAGATGGCTGTGAGCCCTAGGAGGGTGGAAGGAAGGGAGGATTCTTGTTTTTTAAAGCAGGAGTTAGCAAACTTAAATGACCTCATTATAAATATTTTAGGCATTTTGGGCTGTATGGTCTCTGTTGCAGTTACTCAGCTTTGCTGTTGTAGTGTAAAAGCAGCCATAGACTGTACGTAAACAAACTTACATGGCCGTATTCCAGTAAAGTTTTATTTGCAAAAATAGTGGGCTGTATTTGACCATGTAACATAGTCTGTGGACCCCTGTTTTAAGGCCTTAAAATGTAGGTGTTCAGTAAATGACTAAAAGCACACTGGAGGAGTAGCTGTGCTATGTGATCTTTATTTAATGACCCTTAAATGTATGTACGTTTAGGTTTGTACTAAATCAAAGACAGTTTCAGAAATAATCTATTGTTTCTGATGGGAAGGCTGAATTTTTTCTCCTTAGTTTACAGGGACATAAATTTTGCTGGCAGAATACAGTTGACTTTTTTCTGTATTTGTTCTTATATGAAAATTAGGTGGTATTTGTCTGTGTATGAAAGTTAATACTTGAAGTGCTGTTCCTAAACGTGAACGTGACTAAATCTGTGAACCAAATACTAAAATGTAAAATCACACAAGGAATTATATGAAGACCTATATGTTGACTTAGATAACCTTATTTCCCTTTTTAATTCTCATTGTAATTTCATATTCAAAAGCTAGATTTTTAAGGTGAAAGGGGGTGAATGTTATCTTACTACTTTTTTCCCTTTTCTTTCAATGGTGCCATCCTCCTGGCTTTAAGTACAAAGGTAGACTTAGGTTTTCTTAACTTTTTGCCCATCTCCACTATGAAGTAAAGAAAAAGGGAAGTCCTAAGATAGTGAGTACAGGCTGATGTGATTGCCCTGTAGCCATCAGGGATCCAGGATCCTTGTTCTTCCAAACTCCTTCATTCTGTTGGCTTTCATTCTCTAGGATGCCTCATGGTCCCAGCATGGTTGTTAGAACTCTATAATTTATATCCCTATTCTACAAAGGGAGTAAGATCAAAAAGGCCTCCCAGCTGTCTATTATCCTATTAAGGAAGGCATACTCAAAATTCTGTACATTTTGCTTTTTTAACTCATTGCCCAGAATTACATAACCACACCTAGCTAAAAGATAGGCTGGGAAATGGAGATTTTTAAAAGCTTGGTGTATTGCCATCTCATGTAAAATCAGGGTGCTGTTACTAAGAAGAGTGAAGTCAGTGGATACTGGGTAGAGAACATATACTTCTTGACCTCGTGTTCCTGGAACCAACCCTATCAAACGACATTTTTAAAGCTAAGAGTAGAGGGGCCTCTACTGGCTCAGTCGGTGGAGCATGCAACTCTTGATCTCCAGGTTGTTAGCTTGAGCACCACATTGGGTGCAGAGAATTTCTTTAAAAATAAAATCTCTGGAAAAAAACCTTAAAATATAAATTTTATATTTGACCATGTGCTTTTAAATGAAATTTTACGTACTTCCAGGTTATGCTGTTTATTTATGAAGTTAGAAAGAAAACTGAATTACCTTTTGAATTTCCTATTTCATATTTTTGAAAGAGGCATATTAACCTAGAAAATGAGTTGAAGTTTTTTATAATTTTTAATTTTTTTTGGTAATTGGTACATTTGAACCTTGGTGTGATACTATGATATTGTAGCAAAGAACAGTCTGAACTTGATCAAGATTTGGATGATGTTGAAGAAGTAGAAGAAGAAGAAACTGGTGAAGAAACAAAAATCAAAGGTATTATTTTAAATTACTTCAGGAGCCAGTGATTGCTGGCACATGTCTTCTAGAGGGTAGTAACAAATATTGTTCCCTTTTGGATCCTTGTCTGCTTTACCCATGTGGCCCATATGTCTAGTTCAGGAACAGTTTGTGTGTGTATGTTTGGGGTGGGGGGAAGAAAGGAGGGGAAGAGGGAGATGGATACAGAGTGGTAATAAGGGAGGAAGGTGTGAATATAGTGACCCATCAGAAGTTACTTGGTGTACCCTCTACTGCTGGAGTGACATGGCTTCGCTGGGTCAAACAGCTGCTGTGAGTTTTGTCTGAATTTAGAAATGTTACAGGTCTTGGTGGGAGTTGTTTCTGGTGGCAGTTGTAAACAAACAACACTAGCTTAGAGTTACTGGAAATGTTCAGTATTTCATATATAGAAAACATATAGTTGTAAATTTCAAGCTTTTTAAAAAATCTTTCCAACCAAATGACAAAGAAGACATTTATTAAATGTAAACAAAAATCTTACAGTTTTTTCAGCAAATAATTATAAAGGGAGAAGTAGCGATGGTAGTGGGGAATTGTGCTGCTTTAGGTTATGCCGTGTAGGTATGGGCTAAGAATTAATAAAGTACTAGATGATTCAACTTTTCATTGTTGAGCCAGATGGAGGTTAATTGTGAAAAGACAGCTGAACTTCAGCTTCAGCTTTCATCTTGTAGCATTGTCTTAAAAGATATGTAGGTCAGTATCCTTAGTGGCCAACATTGACATTTTTGAAGTCATTTTGGTTATCATAACTATACACCATCCAGTAATCAAATTAATACCAGGAATTGACAGAAACATAACTGGGAAAATTCATGTCAATTTTGTGTAATGTCTATTGATGAAGAGATAATAATAGCAAAATAATTTGTTTTGCCTAAATCTAGTTTATTTTTGGATTTAGTATAATTTTTGGACACATTAACAACCACATTTTGTTTGGCTTTAGTTACAACCTTGGTTGTCTCAGCTATTAACTTTCTCTATTCTGATACACAGAAGCACACTATATTGTACGCATCAAACAGGCAGTTAGGTTACTTCACAGTCTTTCTCCCAGGGTCCAAAGTGTCAGTACACTTGAAGTTTTCTGATAATGTGTTGTCTACCATCAAAGCATTATATGGAGTCATTGGTAGGCATCTGGATGAAGCTTTGAGCTTCTTAAAAATGTAAGGTAGATGAAACACAAGGTAGTAGGAAGAGAAGGGACATTTATAGTTAATAGTAGTTGTGGCAATGGCATGAGAAATGGTTTGTGTTACTAGATCATTAGGAATCTGAATTTCAGGTTTTTCCAGAGTGGATTTTCCTCAGCTTGCTCCCCATTTCTACTCAGACCAATGAATTATGGGCTAGTCAGGAAAACTTCATTATTGGATTGTCCTATTAAAATAGCATAATACATTTTCATAAAATCCTTCTTTCGATGCCTTTTTTTTTTTTTTTTTTTTTTTTTTTAAGCGCGTCAGCTGACTGTTCAGATGATGCAAAATCCTCAGATTCTTGCAGCCCTTCAAGAAAGACTTGATGGTCTGGTAGAAACACCAACAGGATACATTGAAAGGTACAAGTTCTTCTTTTCTGTAGTCTTTATTTATCCTTCTGTAATCAGCATTGCAGGTATATCTTTTTAAGACCATCTAGGGCTCATATACTTAATAGTGGAAAGCTAATGTCTGTTAGTATCTAGCATAGGATTTTGGGGAGTTTAAAATTTCGCTGAGCACCACCAATTTAGACTTGGTCTTTTAAAGTTTGACTCCCCTCCATAGGATATACACTGATCTTAACCATTTCTGAGATTTGTTCGGAGGTGTACTAGAAATACACAGAATTAGAAGAAATGCGAATTTCTTATTTATTTCACTGGTCCTGTAAATCATTAATAGTAGCCTGTATATCTTATTCTGCTTATAATTCTTTTTTTACTTGGCTTTATGAGTTTAAGCTCCATCCATGTTGCTATCTGTGTGTAATCTCTGGCTAGTAGTTTCTGGCTTCTGAATGTTATCATTTATGGTGATTCGTGTCCACCATGTTTTATTACATGCTTTTTCTTTGATGGATATCTTGATTGCCTCTAAGCTTCATCAGCACAAATTCCATTGTAATGGTCCTCTTTTTGCATGCCTTCTTAAAGAACTGTGTAAGAATTTTGGGGGGGATACATACTTACAGTGGGATTGTTAGTTACAGGGTATGCAAGCTTTTAAGTACTTCCCAGCTTGCTTTCTAGAATGACTGTATCCAGTGCATGAGGCAGCCTTCATCCTTGTCTCTGCCAGCAGTTGTGGCATCATTCAGCTTTATGGGTTTTTTGCTTTTACCAGTCTAAGAGGTCCAGGTTTATTTTGTTTTATTTGTACTTTTTGTTGTCTAACGAGCTTTTTATTCATCATGAGTGTGAACCTTTTAGGTTCTCATTGTCCATTTTCCTATTGGGGTTTACTATCTTGTTTTGCAGGAGTTTTTTTTTATATTCAAGGTGTTAATCTCTTATCAGTTTTAGACTTTGTAAATAATCTGTTGTCATTTTTATTAACTTTATCTATCCATAGCATTCTCCATAAAACAGAAGTCCTTAATTTTTATGTTCTAGGTTTTTTGACCTGTGGCTTATTCAAGTTAAGAAGTTCTTACTAGTTCCTTCTCCATTTCCTGTTGACTAGTTTCACCTTTCATCTTTAGGTCTTTAATAAACCCTCTTTGTATTTAGCTGTGCATCAGGGTTTTTTGTTTTTTGTTTTTCCCTTTTTTACTGAGCTTGTTTCTGTAACACTTCACTAAACAGTTCATTATTTCCTCATTTATTTGTGATATGACCTTTATTGCGTGTCAGTTTCTTATAAACACCTGTGTTTGTCTTTGAGCAGCACTCTTTTTTTAATTTGGCTTTTTAGTATGTAAATGGTATCTGGCAGGGTGTTAATTTGTTTCTCCCTATAATATCTTGCTTTCTTTTACCTTCCCTCCCTTCCTCATCCCCTGTGGAATACACTCTTAAGATTGGCCTAATCATATGTAACCTTTATCCAACATATGGTTGATAGTAAGTTTATAGGGGTTTTCACAAAACAAAACAACCCCCCCCCCCACTAAAATTTTGATAGGAGTTGCATTGAATCTATAGATTAAAATGGATAGGGAATTCTTCTAATGTAAAATTGTCTCATCTATATCCTTGTATTTATTGAAATCATACTCTCTTTTATTACAAAGTATTTCTCATTGTCTGTTCTTGGTTAATTTCTGTATACTTTAGTTGTGTTGGTATTGTGGATAACATCTTACTTTGTATTGTATTTCTGAGTTGAATGTTGTTGATGTACAGAAGAGTGCTATTGATTTATTTTTATATTTCTTTTGCTGTTGATCTTGCATCCGGAAATCTTGCTACATGTATTACAGTAATTTGTTCTTTTCTTTTCTCCCAGAGGCAAAAGATCTTGTCTGCAAATAATGGCAGTTTTAGCTCTAATCTTTCACACCAGGTTTATTTTTATTTCATTATAACATTGGCCAGGACTTTTCAGTACTGTTAGCATTAAGTGTGAGCATCTTTATCTTATTTCTAGTCTTAACCAGGAATGGATATAAAATCTCTCCATTAAACTTGGTGTCCACTTGGATTTTTTTATGACCTTTTTTCTGTATGTATTCAGATGGTCTTTTGACTTTTTCTTTGAATCTGTTAAGTACACATTGAACATATTTTTGGAAACATGTATTTCCAATACTAAACTAGCCTTGCATTCCTGGAATAAATTTAATCATGTATTAATACTATACTGTTGAGTCAAGTAGTCAATATTTTATTCAAGGTCCTTACTCATTAGTGAAATGTCCTTGAATATGTGTGTGTGTTTGGATATGCGTGTGTGATGTATGTATATGTATATTTACAATACAGAAACTTTAACAGGATGGTAATTCCATGCCCTGGTATTAGAGTCAAGATTTCAGCTGCTTAATGAAATAAACAGGGTTGCTGTTAAAAGCAGCTTGTATAAGATAGGAATTAACTGTTCTCTAATGGTGGGTAGAATGCTTCTAAAAATGGACTTTGGCCTTTGGTTTGAGAACCCTTACTTGGATTTGCTCCATTCCCCTTTCCAGTTTCTTGAATTGAGGGCTTTGTTCATTTGATTTTTATTAAAAAATTATCTTTTATGGCCTTAATATTTGTTTTTCTACATGTTCTGTGAAAGTTAAGTGTGAAACTATATGCTGAAATTCGTAGCCTAGACATTAATTGTTGTGTTGTTCAGGTTTGCTTATTTCTGCTTATTGATTGATAGCTTGATCTGACAGTTTCTGGGAAGAATGTGTTAAAAATTTCTGCTTAATCTGTTTCTCCCTGTAATTCTATTAGTTATAGATTAATATATTTTGAAGCTGTATTATTAACTATATGTTTGTGATGTGTATATCTTGTCCTTTTGTTCCAGTTTACCAGTATAAAATGTCCTCTGTCGTATTTTGTGGTGGTGGTGGTGTTATAAATCGTTTTGTCTGATACTAAGATAGCTATTCTAACTTTCTTCTGGTTTTTATTTACGTTGCATGGATTTTTCCATCCTTATATCTTATCTCTAGTATGGAAGTTTGCTTCTTTATTAGTAATTTTATTTATTTACTTATTTATTTTAAAGATTTTATTTATTTATTTGACGGAGAGATCACAAGTAGGCAGAGAGAGGGAGAGGAGGAAGCAGGCTCCCCGCTGAGCAGAGAGCCTGATGCTGGGCTGGATCCTGGGATCATGACCTGAGCCGAAGGCAGAGACTTTAACCCACTGAGCCACCCAGGCGCTCCCTTTATTAGTAATTTTAAACTGCATTTCTTGAAAGCGGTATTGTTTTGGGGCTCAACTGCTATTATTTTATAATTTATTGTGCTTTGTTTTTTTTTTCTCTTTTTTTGCTTTCCATTAAATTAGGTTGTCTTCTGTTAAAGTTACTGCATTCTGTTGTTTGTTATTATGGTAAAGGGGCTCATAACTTTTTTTTTTTTTTTTTGTAAAGATTTTATTTATTTATTTGACAGAGATCCCAAGTAGGCAGAGAGGCGGCCAGAGGGGGCAGAGGGGAAGCAGGCTCCCTGCTGAGCAGAAAGCCAGGTGCGGGGGCTAGATCCCAGGACCCTGAAATCTTGACTTCTGAGAGCATGACCTGAGCCACCCAGACAACCCAAGGGGCTCATAACTTGTTAAGTTTATTTACCCCTACTGATTTCATAAATTTACTAATGTCTGTATTATTTATAAATATACATTCTCTAGTCTTCTTTCTTTTCTATCAAGGCAACAGTAAGATTTACCAAGATATTTGGCCACCCATACTTACATAGTAATTTCTTAATTTTTTAAAACTTTCTCAGAAATTATTTTTAATGAATGTAATGAGTATATCTGGCGTGTTTCCTAAAGCCTATGTGCCTTGTGCAATTTTTATTTTGTCTTCATATTTGAATAATAGTTTGGCTTATAAAATTATAAGTTCAGATTTCTTAAATAAAAGTTCATTTCTTCTTGTATATGCTATTTCCTTTTGAAGCTGATGTTAGATTCCTTCTCCTGTGTAGGTTATTTGCTTTTCGTTGAACACATTTAGAATTTTCTTTGGTCTTTGATATTCATGAATCTCATTAACTGTCTAGGGCTTTAGAGTAAGGATTTCTATATTACTTTAACTCTGAGAAATTTATTTTTCATTTATTCAGATAGCCACCTCTTCTGTCTTTCAGCTGTTGCTAATTTTGTCGTCCAAGTCATAATTTTTCTGTCTTTCCTGCTGCCTTTCTAGAGAGCTTTTCAACTTTAATGGACTTCCTTAAGTTGAACCTATATTCTGTTTATCCTATTTATTGGTTATTTATTTTAGCCACTGTATTTTTCATATTTAATATTTCTATTTTGTTTCAGATTTCTTGGTCTCGTTTCTTCCCTATCTCTTTAAATATATTTACATTGTTTTGTCTAATAATATGGCTTCAGATAATAAATACTTCATTCTTTCATTAAAAATTACACTTCTTAAGGGTTTAGTTACTTTGGCTGTAGAGCTCAGGCTCACTGTGGTTGATAAGTTGCTCCCCAGTAATGATTATTGAGGGGAGGAATAAAAAGATCAGGCTCTGGTTTGTGACAGTCCCATGGAATTTAAGAAAAGGGATTGGAATGAACCTAAGGAGAGTTCCGATTACTTCGGACTCAGAAGTTTGCTGTTAGTTCCAGGTGATTGTTTTTGGCTGCTTGGGGAAGAGGCGTTCTCCTCTGGTTGTAATCCATTTTACCTGGATTGGAAGGGTGGAAGAAGAATGCTTGTAGGCTCTCAGGCAGCCAGTTCAGCTTTCATCAGCTACTAAAAATGCTGGCACTAGGCTCTGCAAAGGGTGAAGGAGTTATAGAGACTGTTGTAAGGCAAGTGCAGAATTTCAAAAGCTTTCTTCGAGCCTCTCCTCACTGCTGCCCATTCCGCCCATTCCCTCCCTTTTCCAGGTTGCAGTTCACTCTGTACAGTTGTTACTCACCCTGAAGTTGCTCCTGGTATGTGTGTGGTTGCGTGTGTGAGTCCCTGAATAGTTGTTTTCTTGTTGGTTCTGAAATTTCTAGAGTTGAATTCTCTTTGTTTTTCTGAGACACAGTGTGGGGGTGGGCAGCACCCCATGCTATTTCATCACCTTGACAAAACATCAAACTTTTTACTTTCAATTGTGAGAAATAAAAATTGGTATATGTAGAAAGTTTTTTATTTCTCATTATCTTAACTTAAGTAAGAGAATTACTTGATTTACAGCAATCTGCCTAAGGCAGGAAATTCTAACCTGGATTCTATCTGTTGTATAGAGTCCCTGAAGTTCAATAAATTTTGAGCAAACATTTTTTGAGTGGTAGGGAGATTCACAAGTTTAATCATACTTCAGGGGGCTTATACCCCATAGTAAATTGTATGATTTATGAATTATATCTCAAACCTGTTACTGAAAGTCTCTTAATGAAATATACATTTTTTTAAATGTAAGTTTAAATTCTAAATAGAGACTAAAATAGGAAATAATGGTGTAAGATACCCTCCTTTTTTCTAATATCCTTTTCCCTAAAAATAGCTGGTATGGGTGAGATATGCATACTTTTCTTAAAGCAAGGTATTGTCCTTATTCTCAGGATGGTTAGTCAATGACTTTCTAACTTCCTAAGAGATAGACTGTTTTACAGCTTAAATGTCAGCACAGACAAGTCTAATCCTGAACTTGATTATAATGAAAGATTTAGGTTTGATATGGTTTACATTTTTTTTAATCACAACTTACTGTATCTGCTTAAATGTTCACTCTTGAAATATTTTATAGTTAAGTTCATGTATTTATGTTTCTGGAATTTTAATTACTTTGAATGAGTATTGCTTTTGCTTCAAATAGGACACCTATCATTCACTAACTTCTTTGCTTTACTTTTCAATATGATAAAAGTGTGACTTGTGTTTTACTGTGATGCTGTGTAACTGGTGTGTACCAACCTTTCAGTTTGCCTAGGGTAGTTAAAAGACGAGTGAATGCTCTCAAAAATCTTCAAGTTAAATGTGCACAGATAGAAGCCAAATTCTATGAGGAAGTTCATGATCTTGAAAGAAAGTATGCTGTTCTCTATCAGCCTCTGTTTGATAAGGTAATATTTCTACTACTTTATTTTCTTGATCTAAAATTTGAGATTACAATAAAGCTCTGGAAATACAAACAAACTTACGGGTGGTTAGTCTTCAGACCTCTCACCAAAATGGTTATTAGAGGTATTTAGGAAAACTACCGATAATAGCAATTCAAGTTGTGGTATGCATTCATTAAATCTATACACATCTTTAATGAGAAACAGCTACTAGCTGGATGTCAGTGTTTTTATGCAAGCTTTTCTTTTTTGTTTTTTTTAAATCATTTTAGCGATTTGAGATCATTAATGCAATTTATGAACCTACGGAAGAAGAATGTGAATGGAAACCAGATGAGGAGGATGAAATTTCGGTTGGTACCAACTGTAATTTAGTGTTTTTTTAATACCTTGGAAATATTTTATTGTAAGATTGATGGTGAGTTAACGATAATCAGAACAGATGAGCCACTCTTAGCCCTGGTGCCGTCTGTACCCAAATACATTGTTCCCTTGCATTTCTTTAGTCTTTAAATTTTAATAGATTATATAAACTTTCCCTTTGAACCTCATCATGACATATAAAAGATTGTTACTGTTTTTCACGTGATGAAATGGAGGCTTCTGTTGACTTGCCTACAATTAATAAGCGGCAGGGTTGTGACATAAATACAGTTTTCTGTTACATGACTCTGTTTCCCCAGCATTGCTATTTTAATGTTGGTTGATAAGGAGAACATAATGTTTTGATAAGAACAAGGGGTGAGGAATTGGGCAAGGTTTATTTATTATTATTTTTTTTTTTCCTGAAGCTTTATAATTTTAATCCAAAAATGTTCCCATATAGTTCATAGGTTCTCTCTTAGTGGTTCTCTTTTGGAGGGGTCTGGTAGTAGTAATATTTATAGAAGTAAAGTTTGGTATGGGTAACAGCAGTGTTTACACAATTAGACTAGAACTTAACTGATTGAAAATTGCAGTTGGTGATTGAGGATTTGTTGGTTTCTGTACTTCACTGCTGGATGTAAGTTAAGGGGATGGGTAAGATTTTATCAAATAGTCTGATTTAGGAATTTAGTAACTTAATGCTGTCATTTATCAAGGAGGAGCTGAAAGAAAAAGCCAAGATTGAAGATGAGAAAAAAGATGAAGAAAAAGAAGACCCCAAGGGAATTCCTGAATTCTGGTTAACTGTTTTTAAGAATGTTGACTTGCTCAGTGATATGGTTCAGGTAATTTTATTCATAAAAACATCTGACTACCTCAAAGGATAAAAACCTTTGAAATTTAAATGGCTGTGATGACTAGTCTCTCCATTGTTGACCTCTATAGAATGATTGCTGTCTTTTGAAACCTCTGTTACCTGTAGAAGGAAAATGACATTTTTGATTAATGTAATAAATAAATTATAATTCAGTTTCAGAAATTAGATAATGAAGTGGTCCCTTTGACAGCTGTTTATCATTGAGCTATGTTTTGTCATAGTCTTTTTTCTTCTTTATTTAGGTGCTTAGTATTAGAGATTGGAGGGAGGAAACTTAAAATTTCTTTTATCTGACCCAAAAAGACTTTTTCAGTCTGAAACAAATATTCCAAGGAACATTTACATTTTAAAAGAATAACATAAAGATCTTTAGCTCTTTTACAGTTCTCACTTTTTCTGGGAGTACAACACAGATGTCACCTTCTCTGGGAAACTTTTCCTGTCCTAATTAGAAGCATTTCTTGAGGGGTGCCTGGGTGGCTCAGTTGGTTAAGCATCTGCCTTTGGCTCAGGTCATGATCCCAGGGTCCTGGGATGGAGTCCTGCATCGGGCCCCCTGCTTCGTGGGGAACCTGCTTCTCCCTCTCCCTCTGCCTGCTGCTCTGCCTGCTTGAATTCTCTCTGTCAAATAAATAAATACAATCTAAAAAAAAAAAAAAAAAAGAAGAAGAAGAAGCATTTCTTGAGCCACTATTCTGTGCATTATAGTACTTATTGCCTTATAGTGTAATTGTTGAAAGTTAAAGTCAAGGAAAAGAAATCTCATAACAATGACTGCTTATTGCATTTCTCCTTTGGAAAAGTAGAAAAGGACCTAGCACAGTGAAAGGAACAAGAAGCAGCTGGAAAAGGAAATGTTTTTAAAGCCAACATGCCTGAGTTAGACTTAATTTTTTTTAGTCTTCAGCCCATTCAGTCTGATGATGATGTAATTCTCTGTTAAGTCACTTTTTTTTTTTTTTTTAAAGATTTTATTTATTTATTTGTCAGAGAGAGAGAGGGAGAGAGAGCGAGCACAGGCAGACAGAATGGCAGGCAGAATGGCAGGCAGAGGCAGAGGGAGAAGCAGGCTCCCCGACGAGCAAGGAGCCCGATTGGGACTCGATCCCAGGACGCTGGGATCATGACCTGAGCCGAAGGCAGCTGCTTAACCAACTGAGCCACCCAGGCGTCCCTGTTAAGTCACTTTTTTCCTACTATTGCCAGTAGAAGTAAGTAGAGCTTATAAGTAAACTAGCTTTAGTATAAGCCATAATCTGGAGAATAGGTCTTATGGTTCATAATTGTTACATAAAGCCTCACTAAAAATGTCTCAGTCAGCTAAATGTTTATTGTCCAGTAATAGCACACTAATCCTAAAATGCCATGTTAGATATGCATTTCCGTATTTTCTTAATTTGCAGGAACATGATGAACCTATTTTGAAGCACTTGAAAGATATTAAAGTGAAGTTCTCAGATGCTGGCCAGCCCATGGTAAAAGAACTTTAAAGTATTTTCAGTTTTTTAACATTCGACGTTTTTAGGTAGACATATGGAACTTTCCAAAAAAGAGGTGATATTCTAAGCCTAGAGATGGGTCAGAAAGAAGTTAAAACTCGTACTTGGTACTGTTGTTGGTAGGATGTTAATAATTGTGGTTTAAATGTTGGTAATTGTGATGCAGAATTTATTTCTTTTCCTCCCTCTGAACATAAAACTGTTTTTGAAATATAGGAACTCCTTGATCCTAGATTAAAAATAGATAAAAAATAGTAGCACCCTAAATACTTAACTCCGTCTCAAAAGGCATGTGTCTGGGAAATACATAAAACAGAGTATGTTAGAGGGCTTCCACTTTTCATGATGAAAGATCAGTTACTAGCTTCTCCCAGAAACCATCAGTAGTATGTGAGGAATGAGGAAAACTACTACAGGCTATAGTTTGTTCTATCGTGTGTAGTACAGTTGGGCTGTTCCTGTCAAATTTGGATAAGATGATGATTAAAAGTCCTCTTTATGGGTATGGAAGGAGGAAGGAGTACTTGGTCAGTTTATTACTGAATAAAACTATTTTATAAACATGTTAATAAATAGAAATTGTAAACTAAGCTAAGTTTTATTCAGTTTTATTTTGTGTCTTGTTTTTTTAACATAATTTGGGGTTTTTCTGACCCTTTCCCAGAATAGGAAAGGCATTATCACCTAAGCGTTTACGTGTTTATAAAAATAAACAGATTGAATTTTACTTACTAATGGATTAACATTTGTGACGTAGGAATTTCATTAGTTTTTTTTTTTTTTTTTTTTTAAAGAGTTTCGTCTTAGAATTTCACTTTGAACCCAATGAATATTTCACAAATGAAGTGTTGACAAAGACATATAGGATGAGGTCAGAACCAGATGATTCTGATCCCTTTTCTTTCGATGGACCAGAAATTATGGGTTGTACAGGGTGAGTTTAATTTTACTGCTTTCACAGAATATTCTGTCTTTTTGTTTTATTTGTGATTTGTATTATTTAGTAAATCCTTGTGTGTCCTTGATGCATAGTTTATCTCTAAACATTTCAGAAAAGTGTTTTCTTAGATGAACACACTTATTTTCCTAGAATTCTCCTTGGCTTTTAGTGGTAGAGACATTTCTTCAAAGGAGAACACACTTAAATTTATTATATTATGAATTTGTGTTAATTGTCTATTTATTGCAAAAATGTGTTTAGAATTAAAAATTTCTCTTTATATTGCTATTGAAAACATTTGAGCCAATTTTTCCCTCTAAAATCTGTAATTAAAACAATAACATTTGGGGTACTTGGGTGGCTCAGTCAGTTAAGCTTCCACTCTTGGTTTCAGCTCAGGTCATGATCCCAGGGTTGTGAGATTGAGCCCTGTGTCTCAGCCCAGAATCTGCTTGTGATTTTTTTCCCCCCCTTCTGCTCTTCCCCCCTACTCACCTGCATGTGCTCTCACTCTTCTCTCTCTCGCTTCTTTCTATAAAATAATACAATCTTTAAAAAAAATAAATATTTAATTAGATAAATCTTGGCTCTTCCAGCAGTAAAGTATAACATGGTAATTCTGATAGATTCTTCCCTTTGTTTTGCAAGGTGCCAGATAGATTGGAAAAAAGGAAAGAATGTCACTTTGAAAACCATTAAGAAGAAGCAGAAACACAAGGGACGTGGGACAGTTCGTACTGTGACCAAAACAGTTTCCAATGACTCTTTCTTTAATTTTTTTGCCCCTCCTGAAGGTAAATAGTGGTTTTAGTTTGGGTATCGATGGTTGTTCTGTTATAAGCTTTCTTTAGTTTCGTACTCATTTGAATTTCTTTTCTCAATTTTGCAGTTCCTGAGAGCGGAGATCTGGTAAGTTAAATTATTATTAATTTGTTGAATTATTCACTATGAAATTAAAGAACTGGTTCTCAGAAGTGGAAGTTGGATAGTTGCTACTCTGATTTTACATTCTGAGGCTTGCAATGCATGGAGAAGACCCTTATGCATCTGGAATTATTTTATTCAGAATGCCTGTAGTGTTTCCATTGAGAAATGCTGAAAGGCTAAAGACTTTTTGAAGTATTGGGGGGATTCAGGTTCTTAAGATGATATTTTTCGTATTGAAACTAGGATGTATTAGATAAATCATTTCTACTGTCTATTTATTAAAACTCCTAACCACATTCTGGTTAGAACTCTTTCTGTATTTGTTACTCCAGTGGAAACATGGTTTCATATTGTGGCCATGTATTATGAGCATATAGCCAAGAGCTGCCGTAGTGCCTGTGTACAGCCTGGAAGGAGAAACAACCTCAGACAGGTCTGTGCAGGCAGGGTGTAAGCTACATACGTTTTGAATCTGCTCTTCTGTTGGCCAGATTTTTTAACTTTAACTCAGATAGTTGAGTAGTTTTATACATTTGGAATTAGAAAGTATGTATATTTTGAATACTTTTGAGTTGGAATAGTGTTGGCTAAGGCTAAGAACAGATCTGTAAAAGGCAAGTATTTCTGCTTGTAAAGAGTGGTAAGTGGCTTTGTTCAAAATGTCTGTCTTTTGTGGGACAAAAAGGGGGACTATAAAGCAGCACCTGAATTTTAGGTAGAACTACTTAATGAACATAGAGATAGAATTTTGTGCTATTTTCATGTCAGTGAGTTGGTTTGGAGTTTGTGTTGAAGTTGTTTTTGTTTTTGTTTTTTTTGTTTTTTAATTCTGTTGTCAAATATGGTAATAGAACAGCCTTGAGTAGTTACAACTAGAACACCTTCACCTGTGATTAGAAGTCTTTCTGTCAAAGTGCACTGCTCCCTTTTGTGTTTTTTTTTCACTGTTTATTATAGTGGATTATGTTGATGAGTCAAAATAAACATCCATGGAATATTTACTCATTGTTTGGTATTGTTTGGAATTTAAATGACATTATTTGACTCATTGTTTTGTATTGTTTGGAATTTAAATGACATTATTTGAATTTTGAGTAATGTCTGCACCATTTCTGTGTTGTGCTTTGTCATTAAATAGAAATCCTAGATTGACTTAGTATTTATTAAGTAGGATTCTATCTCCTAATTTGGCATTATACATACAACTGCTTGTGTACTCTTTCTATAAAATAATAAGGAAGTGTGAGCGATCCTTCATGTTCTTCCATTATGTGCCATATACCTAATGTTATTTAAATCCCGAGATTCTTTCTTAGTATTATTCCATTTGGTGTTTTCAATAGTGAATATTTATAAGGAAAATTAGTCATGTAACAAAGTTGCTGTTATTTTAACATTTTAAGTAAAAAAAAAACAATAACCGGTTCTAATTTTTATTTTCTCAAATTTCTCTGAGTATGTACACTTACTTGGGAACTTTGTTTTATTAAAACCCTATGAACCATCAGAAAGGATGAATACCCAACTTTTGTAGCAACATGGACGGGACTGGAAGAGATTATGCTGAGTGAAATAAGTCAAGCAGAGAGAGTCAATTATCATACGGTCTCACTTATTTGTGGAGCGTAACAAATAGCATGGAGGGCAAGGGGCGTTAGAGAGGAGAAGGGAGTTGAGGGAAATTGGAAGGGGAGGTGAACCATGAGAGACTATGGACTCTGAAAAACAATCTGAGGGGTCTGAAGGGGCGGGGGGTAGGAGGTTGGGGGAACCAGGTGGTGGGTATTAGAGAGGGCACGGATTGCATGGAGCACTGGGTGTGGTGCAAAAATACAATAAATAAAAAATAATAAAAAAAAATACAATAAATACTGTTAGGCTGAAAATAAATTTAAAAAATTAAAAAAACAAACAAACCGTATGAACCCAAGGTATATATAGATGATTGTTTAATCACACACATAAGCTAATTTTAAAATGATAGAAAGTTAAAAGTGAAGTTCAGTGTTGTTTCATAGAGTTTAAACCCAAGAGTTTTGCATGTGCCTAATTAAATAAAAGTTACTAAATTTTGTGCCTTTTTTTTCCTTAAAAAAATACAAAACAAAACAACAGGATGATGATGCTGAAGCTATCCTTGCTGCAGACTTTGAAATTGGTCACTTTTTACGTGAGCGCATAATCCCAAGATCAGTGTTATACTTTACTGGAGAAGCTATTGAAGATGATGATGATGATGTGAGTGAATCTGAATCCTGCATTGAAATCATTTGGTGAGGGTATGATGGTCACAGTTGGTGAGCAGTTAAATGAATAGATGTAATTTTTAAAAAAACACAGTAATTCAAAGGCTAATTACTGATATCTTATAGATAACTTTCTTGAATTGTTTTAAATATGTCCTCTTAGGGTCTTGGTAGCTTTTATTTTCCTGCTAACAGGAAGACTGCTTTGACTTAGTGCAACTTTTTACTAGTGTTTGGTCACTGTTGTAGATATATTATGCTCTTTGACCAAAACATACCTAAGATGCTTTTTATTACTTAATAATACTAGAAGCATAGAATTTTTATCCAAAGGAGTATTAAGCAATGATTAAGGTAAAATTAGGCTGCCCTCAAATATTTTGGCTATCTTTATTGCTAAGTGTCAGTCTTTCCAATAGATTTAGGGCCTTTTTTGTGCTGCGTGTTTAAATAAATATAGGCAAGTAATATTCATAGTAATAGTTGCCTGATCACACTTAATGCACAGTCGTACTGTGTTCTTTATTTTAACTTTTTATATTGTCAGATTTAGATACTGGCACTGAATTGAGTGATTCCTGCAGCCATTTAATTTATAATTAATTGCCTTGGGTTAAGTATTTTCCTCTTTAGATATTAGTGGATTTAAGATGGCTATAACTAATGCTGTTCTCAAATGTTTGTTAGCTTCATTCAAACTTCATCCTTTTTTCCCTTTTTAGTATGATGAAGAAGGTGAAGAAGCAGATGAGGTAATGTTTACCAAATGAGCAAATAATTCTCTGTTTAACACATTGAGAAGCAAATTGAGTGACTTATGTATTCCTTTGCTATAATCATTATTCTGTGATATGGGATATAAACCTTTTGGAAAAAAATTATGGTTTTAGAATTCTACAGCCAAACAATGTATGTATGAGGTTTCAATAAATAAATTGCAAAACTCAGAACATTTTTTTTATTTCAAATAATTCTGTTCTACTGCAGGGTTATCAGCTCTTTGAAGAAGTCAAAAGCTGCAGTAAACTTTTTCAACGTTGGCTGCAGTAAATCTTTTCAATAAAAGCTCTCTGGATGTCTCAAGTTGTGTTGGGAAATTTTTCATATTAGAAGCTTTCAATTAAATTGCATTGTCACCATACTCTGTAATCATGAAAATCTTTTGACCTATAGAGTAACTTGTATTAAAATTTCTCCATACATTATGAGCCATTTCTTCCTACTGTGTACCTACTTCATGGATGCATTTTGAACTTTAATATAGGAAGGGGAAGAAGAAGGAGATGAGGAAAATGATCCAGACTATGACTCAAAGGTGAGCAAAATTAGTGCTGCTTTCTATTTAATTCAAGCAGGTTAAATAAGAGTTGATACCTCTTAATAGATATCTCTTAATTTTTGTCCATTGAACTCTTTAATAAATCCTATTGACTGGAGATGATGTATAGTCCACTTTAATCCCCACTGGCATTTCAACAATACGTGAAATTTGAATGCACATTTCCTAAGAAATTTTATTTTTGGTTCTGACTTTGTATTTTTCTTAGTCTAAGGTAAATAAACCCTAAGTTTCTTTTTTTAATATACATTATCTTGGGGTTTTTTTTTTTTTAGATTGTATTTGAGAGAGAGAAAGCATGCATGAGATGGAGGTTGGGGCAGAGCTAGAGGGAGAAGCAGTCCCCGCTGAGCAAGGAGTTGATGCCTGCCTCTAACTCTGGACCCCGGGATCATGACCTGAGCCAAAGGCAGATACTTAACAGACTGAGCCATCCAGGCACCCTGGGCTTTTTTTTTTTTTTTAAACAGTTTTTTTTTAAGAAGCATTTTATTTTTTAAAGGTTTATTTAGTTATTTTAGAGACAGGGCAAGTGGGGTTTGGGAGGGGCAGAGGAAAAGGGACAGAGAGAGAAAAGCCAGCAAGAATCCTCAAGCAGATTCCCTGCCTGAGAGCACAGTTAGACCTGGGGTGCAGGGATACGGGTCTTAATCCCAGGACCCTGAGATCATGACCTGAGCTGAAATTAAGAGTCAGCATTCAACTGACTGAGTCACACGAAGCATTTGAAATTACTTATTGGATGTGTTGTTAGGTTTTCCCTCCAAAGGATAGCTTTATAAACAAAGGTTTTTAAATAATCTGGGTGCTTGGGAATAGGGAAGCAGTACTGTTTGTTAGGTTTTCCACGCCACTTCTGTTTTCTTTATCTTTGAGACTCCCAACCAATTGGTTGTTCTTGAGTATTTGTCATATCAGGGTTAGTAAAGCCCTTTATTTCCCCCAGAATACATAGTACATTATCAGGATTCATTTGAAACTTTGGTTTCTGATAAGTGCATTCATTCATTTGCTAAATACTATAAAAGATCCAGAAGATACTTTAATGTAGTGAGCAGGTAAGAGGGGTAGTTAATAATCAAATCAAATACTCTAAAGAGTATGAGTGTTAGTATGTTTGAATAATTGATCTATAAAAAGGCAAAAATAATTGGTAATATGACTAACATAAATTGCTTGGTTGTTTTTGAGGATTATGGTTTAGTTTGTTATTGAGTTCATTCCAGAGTAAAATACGGGCCTTACTTGAAGCATTTTTGTGACTTGCTAATATTTGAATACATAATTTGCCATCCTTGCATACCTTTTCTTTAATTTGGCAAAAATTTTGGTACAACAATGAGATGATATAATTACGATAACTAGTGTTGAAAATTAACCGAAGCAGGTAGAAAAAGATAGATTGACTTGTTGTTTTCCTTTAACAGAAGGATCAAAACCCAGCAGAGTGCAAGCAGCAGTGAAGCAGGATGTATGTGGCCTTGAGGATAACCTGCACTGTAATAGCCTAAACACAACTATTATTTACTTACAGCCTTATGTTTTTGTATTTTCTTGGTAGACTCAGTAATTTTTTTTAAAGGAAAGGAACTGATAATTTTAAAGACCAATTTGTTCTACTTAGCATTTTAACTCTAGTTTTTCTGCCAGATCTGTTGATTTCACAAATTCTTTCATGCATGTTCATTCATTACTACGTGGTTTGGTTCTTCTGGATAATTTTTATCATGTAACAAAGATTTTAGATTACAGCTATGAAAGTGAACAGAACTGTTAAAAGAAACTTTTTTTTTTTTGCTTTGCTAATTTTTTTCCTGAAGAACCAAAGTATTTTTTTCAGCTAGTAGTTGAATTGGGTTTACATTTGCTTGCACTAGCTGTGCTTTTCATTACTTTGTTACAGAAATACAGTGACTTAGACAATTCCTCATTTAAAAAACAAAATTTCTTGAGACAAATATATGGTTAAGAATTTCCAGTAAGACAACAACTGATAACTTGGATTATTAATGGTTTTTTATTTTTGGTGACATAGTTAGAAACCTGGTAAGGAAACGGAGTAAAAAAACCTAACTCATAGTGTGGTTATTGGTTACTGTAGGCAGGGAATAAAACCTATTTTCAGAAGTTAAGCCTCATTATTTTAATTGTGCTTTTAAATTTAACTTCCATTAACTAAGCGTCTTTTCTTTATGGTAGGGTCTACCTTCTGCTTCCCTGGAAAGGATGAATTTACATCATTTGACAAGCCTATTTCAAGTTTTTTGTTATTGTTTGTTTGCTTGTTTTTGTTTTTGCAGCTTAAAATAAAAATGTCAAATATAATTTTAGTTCTCACAAGATAATGTCTTAATTTTGTACTAATTCAGGTAGAAGCTGAGGCCTAGCTTGAATTAAGCATTTTACCCAGTTTGCCATATTATGGAAGAGAAGTGTTTCAACTTTGGGAGAGGTACTCCATCGGCTAATTAAGAAAATATAAAAAAGAAAGGCAAAATCTTAAGTGATGTTTTTTTAAGAGACAGATTAAAAGGTTAATCTTTTATTTCCTTTGATTAGAGCTAGAGAGAAGGCCCCAAGCCTCTATGGTTAATTCTAATTCTTACCGCTTTTCAAGTATGAGTATGTCATTTACCCATGCTTCTGTTTACTATGTATTAAAATGGGTAGTACTGTTTACCTAACTACCTCACAGAGATATGTTAAGACATATTAAGTTAAATTTTATGAAATGTTTCTTGATCTCATTAAAAGCTCAAAAATTTGGACCTATTTGTACCACAAGTATGATAGCCAGCATTTTATTCATACCAGAGCTTGTTAATTCAACTGGAAAACAAAGGTTTAAGTACCTCTATTCTTGGATCTGGTCAGACAACACTCTTGCAGATCTTTGTGTGGCTCCTATCTTAATAGAAGCTGATAATGAGCAACTCTTTGTAAAGGTCCAAGGATTGTTTTTAAGTGTTTTAGTTATGACCATATTGTAGTATAAACTACAGAGATCATGGGACTAACATAGGAAGAAGACCATTTTTAGTGGGGGGAAATGCCATTAAATTTGAGACTGTAGAGCCACATTTAAAATACCTCAGGCTAATTACTGTTAATTTTTTGTGATGAGCTTAAAAGCTTTGACTCGGTGAGGGTAGACTAAATGGATTATAATTAGAAGACAGCCTAGAGTTCCTGCTCTTAATAAAATTACATTAAGTTTGTTCTTAGAAGTGATAGAGCTTCCTTTTTGAAAATTTAGTATTAAGATCTTGGAATGTGAACACATCTTGTTATTTGTATAGTACTATTCATTCCTCTCCTGAGATTTTAATTAACTACTGGAAATCCTTAACCAGTTAATGGTAGTGTGTAGGAAAAAAATGCCATGAAAACACCTTATGTTTTTTCCTCTTTATTTTCAAAATGCTTTTGTTTGCTTTGATTAGATATTCTTTGCTGATTCTTGTTTCTGTACCCATAGCTCATTTGATCACAGCCTTTTCTGAACTCAAAAAATTTTAAAGATAGAATCCCATTTTTAATAAACTTAAGCAGTAGAACCACTATTTTTTTTTTTTCCATTCCTTTAGGTAATAGCTATTGCCAAAGTGAAGGGACAGATACTATTTCATCTTGTTACATAAAGGGGATGTGGTTTGCAGAGGAATTGTTTTCCTAATAAATTTGGCATTGCAGTGTTCATCTATGCCATCTCTCCAGTTCCAAAATGGTTCTATTCCATTTTAGAAATTTGAAATATGTAATTTGAAATCCTTAATAAAATTTGCATTTAATTTTATAAAATGTACTGGTGATATTTTGGGTGGTTTTTTAAAAATGTGGATATATTTCTATATATATATTTTTGAAGAGCAGAGAGTAGAGATGTTTAGAGTGGGCTATTCTGTGATTAGGCTAGGATGGCCTGTAAATTTGTATAATTTTAAAAGCAACCTCCCAAACCCTGCTAAATGGAGTTTGTTATTGGAAGACTAGAAAGGTTTTTGCTCTGAGTTAAATATTGACATTTTTGAGACACTTTGATTTGTCTTTACATTTTCAGTTTATAGTTTCCCCTAACTCGGGTACCAGATTACCAAGAAGTTCTATTTTTTTCTCTCTAGAAATGGCAGAATCTCATATAATCACTTTTGTAAGCTAATACTTTGAAAATTTTTTTCTGTCATTTTGTGGTCATTCAAATATGGTAAGTAAACAACAATAGTTTCATAAATCACTTAGTTCTTTAGTGATTAAAGATTCACAGATATCTGAAAGTTTGTGAAAATTTTCGGAATTTTTATCTAGTTCACTGAAGCAATATTAATATTTCTGTGACATAAAAATATCTTAATTGTGTGGAACTGTCTTACAGAATAATACTTAGAAAAATGGGATTCTACCTCTGTTTCCTTTTTAGCTGAAGTAATAAAAACATCTGAGAGGGATTAGCTTTGATAGAAATGTCTTCATTATAATGTGAATAGGTTAATGATACTGATTAGTGTATAATAAGGCCCCTAAGATAACTGAATTAACTGTTCATATTACTGCTCTTTGTAAGACAGTATGAATTTGTGGGGTTTTCTGAGTTGTAGGCCATTACCATTATTAAAAATAAAAATAAAACTTTATTGTTTGTGAAAACCTTACACAATACAGAAATACTAAACTAATATTCAGATATTTTTTGAATGCTGGTTTCAGGGCTTGGTTTAGAATTTGAGTCCATTTTTATGGGTTAGTCTTAAAAAAACTTTAGCCTTTATATTTTTTGACTCAGTCAAGCCAAGTGTTATTTTAAATGTACAGAATAAATGGGTAGTTTAGAAGAAGTATATGTTCTTAATAGGAATCTTAGGAAAGAGACTATGCTACTTTAGGTTGTTTTTTTTTTTTTTAAATCTGCACTGTATATATACAATTGGTCATTGTGAACTGGATTTTGTTTTGAAAATGCGTATTCATACTTTAGGTAATTTGTGACTTGAAGGACTAAGTCTAATAGCTGAAAAGTAAATGTAAGGAAAGAGACTATGCTACTTTAGGTTTTTTTTTTTTTTTTTTAAATCTGCACTGTATATATACAATTGGTCATTGTGAACTGGATTTTGTTTTGAAAATGCGTATTCATACTTTAGGTAATTTGTGACTTGAAGGACTAAGTCTAATAGCTGAAAAGTAAATGTAA